GGAAAGTAGTGTGGAGACTCATGCTCCTGAGTTCAGATTCTGGTCCCATCATCCAAGAACCACTATTAGACTCTGCCTTTCAAGCTTCAATAACTTCATCTGCAAAATGGATATAACCTCTGCCTAGGAGGGTTATTAGAAGAACAGAAAGGTAAACAAAGTCATGTGCAAGACATGTCTAGCACACAGTAGGTACGCAAAATGTGGGCTCCAAAGCATAACTAGAGCAGGCCAGACCAGAGCAACCAGAGCAGGCTTAGCCCAGCCCCTCACCCACCTGGCATTTCTCAGTGAACCTGAAGACCCTCTATTCAGTCCCAGTAGCCCCGGTTATGGAAACATGACCCATAAGTCAATGTCCCATTCATTGAGCTGAGGTGGGTCCCTGCATCTAGGAGCCTGCCTCATTCCTACATAGAGAATCTCTGCCAGGTCTGAGGATTGATTGCTCCTTGGCTTGCTGTGAACACAGATCAAGACTAGGTGTCAGAATGGGGCCATAATTTGCTTTATTCATAGTCCTTGCAGCAGAGGCAGGATTTTTAGGATAAGGCAGGTTCCCCAATGCCTCTCTTGATGCCTCCTCCTCATCCCACCACCTTCTCTTTGCCCCACCTTTCAGCATGAACTTCCCATCAGAAAGAAAAAAGCAAACTTGCCTAAGACAGCCATGACCACTCAGTCATGTCTGGTTGCAGGCCACCAGACAATGAAGGCAGCTGTTCTCTGTCTATGTCCATAGAGTCTGGACTCTCTCTGAGGGCAGGAACAGTTAGAGAAAGAACAACTTAAAGTCATTTTGCCATATCAGAGCCCTGCCTCCTATCCTCACCAGCCATGAACCAGGGCAAGCCACTTGCCACTCTGAGCCTTGGTTTCCCATCTATAAAATGGTGATCATAAGGCCTAACAAAAAGCTAGGTATATCTTCAGGGTAGGCAGAGGTGGATTTGGGGAGTAGGGAATTCACAGACTTGTTCTTCATTCTTTATACCAAATGACTTACCTCATCTTTTGCCTACCAGCTAGAATGCCCTTACCCTAAATCTTTGTCTAACTAAATCTGGTTTTCCTGTTGAATTCACATTGTCACCACCCCTGGGAAGTCTTCTGGGACTTTCCACACCCTTAAATAGCATTTCCTTCCTTTGGCCTCCTTTGGCACAGAGGGCAGAGGCTAAGAACCTAGGGCTCAGTTTCTCCATCTGTAAGATGGGAATGTAAGAACTAAGTGAGATGATCCTGGCACAGAGTAGGCACTCAGTAAATGCCAACTGTTCCATATGATGTTGTGGTCTTTCCCCCACCCTACAGCTCCTTTAGGCTCTGGCACACAGTAGGTGTCCACTGAATGAATACTTACCTAAGTGACCAGCAGGAGGCCTATACCCCAATTAACCTGTGTGGCCTACAGCCAGCACCTCTGAGTCCCAGGGAACTTGTTCTCTTGAGTTACCAGCACCTTTCTTCTGGTCTGGGAAAGCATAAAGAGGATAGAACTGGCAGAATACTGCTTAGCTGACCTATCACCTAGCAGACACTTGGGCTATGTTAGTGACAAAGGTCTGTGGGCTCAGCTGCCCCCTCTCCTATTCCATCACAGCTTTGACCCACCCTCTGTGGGTTACTCCATTTAACAGATAAGAAAATTAAGGCCTAGCAAAGTGCATGATCTGCCTGAGACCAAAGCACATTCCTCACAATCCAACTGGTGGTAACACATCTGTCAATGATCCTAGAATTATCTGGCTCTGCTTAACTAACATCTCGTTTTACTAATATGAAACTTCAAAAATAAGAATAGCCCTGCCAGATTGGTGCCCATAGCACAGTGGCTATGGCACCAGCCACATACCCGTAGGCTGGCAGGTTTGAACCTGGCCCAGGCCTGCTAAACAACGACAACTGCAACCAAATAATAGCTGGGCTTTGTGGCAGGCGCCTGTAGTCCCAGCTACTTGGGAGGCTGAGGCAAGAGAATCGCTTAAGCCCAAGAGTTGGAGGTTACTGTGAGCTGTGATGCCACAGCACTTTACCGAGAGCAGCATAGTAAGACTGTCTTCATAAAAAAACAGCCCTGCCCAATGTCTCATGTAAATCAAAGTTCAGGTCACCAGGCTCTAGACTTTACTCTGTCCCCCTCACAGGGTGGGAATTGGGCTTCCCAAACTCTTCCCTGCCTATTGGCCTTGATTCCATTGCCAGATAGGCATGCTGGCTGCCCAGCCAAAAAATAGGAAGAATTTTACCCTTCTGGGCTTACTGGCCAGAGAGGACCCACTAGGGGATGCCCAAGGCAGCCAGGTCTGGTGACAGCCACACATGACCTGCCCTTCCCCAACCCCATGCCTGCCAGGGAAAGTTTGAAACAGGCCTAGAAGCATTGAGACCCCCCATGGAGACAGTAGCAGGCTGCATTTTGAGGTTCAATTTTGATGCTGCAGTGGAGGGCCTGAATAAGGGCAGAGAGGGGCTAGTTTAGAATAACAATGAGGCAGGCTATTGGGAACCAGCCAGCATCAGGTTTGGAGGACAAAGTCAAGGGCTATTAGCTAGGTCAGGGGGAGCATCATTGGGAAGAGATGTGTCATACACACACGCACTCACACATGTACATGTGTGAACACACCTCTTATGTTATTCTTTTTTTTTTTTTTTTTTGAGACAGAGCCTCAAGCTGTCACCCTGGGTAGAGTGCTATGGCTCAAGTGATTCTCCTGCCTCCGCCTCCCAAGTAGCTGGGACTACAGGCACCTGCCATAAGCCTGGCTATTTTTTGGTTGCAGCCATCATTGTTGTTTGGTGGCCCTGGGCTGGATTCGAACCCGCCAGTTCAGGAGCCTTAGCCACTTGAGCCACAGGTGCCAAGCCTCTTATGGTATTCTTTAATGAAAGCTTCCAGGAAAGCCACCATGGAGCCATGCAAACACCAGTGTCTGGACTAGCTATGGGGAACATGTTGCTGCTTGGCTTCTTAGCTTAGCTAATAGATTAGCTAATTGTCTGGAATTTGCTCCTGTTTCACAGACAGCCACACTGAGACCCCAAGAGAAGTATGACTTGGCCAGGCATCCAGCCTCCTAGCCCTGGCTTGTTAGAGTTACCCCTGATGCCCAAGATTAGGGAACCAGGCCCTGAACAGGGCTTATCTTTGGGCCAGGATCCTCATGGGCTCTTGGAATTGGCCAAACAAATGTGAGATAAGGGGATAATCTTTCCATCCTCTCCTCTGCGTCTCTGCTGTACCGCCTTTCCCACCTAGGAACAGGAGAAGCCATTTCCCCTACCCTGCAACAGCAAAGGGCCAAGTGTGACCAATAAGAATCCTTCCCTAAGACTAGCACACAGATACCTAAGCAGATGACCTCCTGAACTAGGACTTACCCAGCTCTGGGTCTTGCCTGTGGAGAAGGATGGTACAGGTGGAGAATCAAGGCCAGCCGCAGGGAGAAGCATAGACTGGCAAATCTCGTGAGGTGGGAGGGAGCAAACAGAACCCTGGAGTACAGAGTCCTTTTGTCCCCTAGGCATCAGCACCTCCAGTTCTGCCTTCAACTTTGTAATCTATCAGGTACCCTTCCTAGCCATTGGGGTGCATGAATTCTTCCTGTGACTTAAACTGCCCCAATACCCCCTTCTAGAGCTACATCTTTCCTTCACAGACTGCATCAAGATAGTAATTCAATGCTTATTTTTGTCCTCTCCCTCATAGATGTAAACACCCTATGGGTAGACCCCTATCTGAAGCTTTCACGGCTACCTTCCTTGCACCCAGCAAAGGGTCTCAGGCACAAATGTTCAGTAGCCAAGTGAGAGGCATCAATCTGTACCTCTGCAGCTTTGCAACTAGATGAATTTCATCTATCTCTGCATCCCACTTGCATTTCACTAGACTTAGTACACTGAGGGAGTTGGCCTGAACCACAGGCTCTAGGCAGAATTTATCTGGCCACCCTCTTTGAAGCCAAGACTGGAACCAAGGCCCAGGAGATCCACATGATGCTTCTCTGGAGAGCAGGCCGTTGGAAGTGAAACCCCATGGATAAAGAAGTCCTGATTTTCTTGGTGGAAAGTCTGAGGTAAATTTGGGGCTGGACTGCTCTTTCCTCACAACTCTAGGTACTTCTCTCTTTTCTGATGGTTAAAGATGCAGGGGTAGCTAATGGTTCTTGGGCTTGAACCATGCACCTGGCACCCCACTAAGTGCTTCACACATATCATCTGCCCAAATCTGCAGATGACTCCATGAGGTAGGCACTATCACCTTTAGTACACAGTTGAGGACACTTAGGCCAAGGAAGCTGAGGGACTTGTCCAAGGTCAGCAGCTGAGAAGCAACATAACATCTCAGGTGTACTTACCTGTCTCCTGCCTTCTAATGTCTCCACACCCTCCTCCATGCCCTGAGGGAAGGGGAGGCAAAGGAGGAAGAACTGCAGGCACCAGATGAGCTCTTGGAAAACTGGGAGGTTTCAAGATAGGAGCTTGGGGAGAAATGTCACAGTTAGAGCCCCCTTGAGGCTGCCCACAAGGGTTCCCGAGGGCTGAAGGTGCTCTGTTACTGAAGTATTAAAAGACAGTCTTCCAGCAACACTCTCCCTCCCCTCGCCAATATTCTCACTGCCAAATGAAATCTGGCAGCTTCTGAAAATAGCTCAGCGCTGCAGCAGGCACTCTGCCTGCCCTTCAGCAGGCTGGCACGCAGCTGGGGGTGGCCACTGTGGGCAGACACTGGCACACAAGGGGCCGGGGGTGGATGTCACACACACAGTGCACAGGGGCGGCACAGAGCGGGGGCCATGCAGCAGCTGCCATCCCTCAGCATCTCTGACCTTTCCATGCCTAGTGAGGACGCGGTGGCCTTGGAAACAACATGGCATGTTTACCAGGCCCTAAGGCACCCTCTCCAGTCTGGGTGAAATCACTAGTGGGTGTGAGCAGCTGCCCTTGGGCCACTTTTGTCCACCAATGTATACAAAGAAAACCCCAGGAACCAGAAGAAAATGCCAAAATGGTGTTTATTAATAACCTCATATAAAACCCAGCAGTGTTGTCCTCTGTGGTGTGACCTAGGCTTTCCCAGCCAGCGAGAGAGGAGCCAGGAACCAGAAACCAGAAACTAGGCTGGGTGTCAGGCACTTGTTGGGCTGGACCACGAATTCAGCACCCTGAGAATACCCTGAGCAGGGTGGGGCTGGGTGAGCCTGAATCAGCTAAGAAGTGGTCCTCTCTGCTTAGACTCACACCCAAGCCAGGACCCGATTTCTAAGGGACATTGTTCAGTAGCCTCCCATCTCAGGTTTGGCCCAGAGGATAGAAGGAGATCCCTGGTTAATGGGAAGCCTTTCAGTCCTGCCCCCAACAATCCACTTTCACAAAAGTATACTACAAGGCAGCCCCTACCAAAAACAAGACACGGGCTTTCCTGCCCCAAGGTGGGGGCAAGAGAAGTGTACTGGCTTTTGTCACAGTGACATTTTCCAAAGTGGAAAAGGGTTAAAAAATAATCCCCACCTTCCAAAGATAAAAGAAAACCACCCTTTGGGTAGAGGCTAGTGACAGGATGGCTGGGCCCAAGGACTCCTTCAGGGGATAGCTCTTGAGTGCTACCTGGGCTAGGGCTGCAGTAAGACAGGGCTACACCATCCAAGGAGGTAAGGAGACTGGACCTGTAGCTTCAGAGAGACCAAAGAGGGGTGAACCTGAGAGGAGCAGCCATTGAGAGAGACCACCCTCCCTAATAAGGCAGAGGTTAACCCATGACTGCCCCTCCTCCCTTGTTTCACTGCTATTCACTCAGCAGACAGCAGCACCATCCCTGGTCACCATGGCAACCAATGGTCTGATGTCTTTCTCAAGGCCAGGCCCATCTGCCCACCCCACAGGGGGATGTCTCTGTGGAAGATGGGAATCCCAACTACAACTCTCAGTGGCCTAGAAGATTAAGGCCAGGGGATAACAGAGCTGAGGCCTAACTTAGGCCACCCCAGCCAAAGGTATTGCAGCTATACCAAGCAGCTCCTGAGCCCCTAGGTTCTGGCCTTCTCTGAGCCTAAGTCTGGGACGGAGCTTTGAAGGAGGTCAGGATCCTCCATCCTGAAGTTCCAGGTGACAAATTAAAACACACAAAAATAATCCTTTTGTTATAAAAATGACTCTGGGCCCTCCTGACCATGGCCTCAGCACATTCGAATCTGTCACCCAGGCTGAGGGGCCTGGCTTCTCCATGGCCCCATGAGCTACTGGTTGTTGCAGCCCTGTGAGGCTGAGGAGCTGCCTGCCTGCTTTTTTCTCCGCTTGTTGAGGAGCCGGTTGTTAGAGGTCTTCAGGTCCTTGATCTTCACCTGGTCATAGTCCACCCTCATGGTAGCCAAAGCACTGGTCATCTCCTCCTGAAGAAGACAGGATGGGAGGCACTAGGAAGTAACAATATGATGACCTTAACAGCCATCACCTTCCTGCCTTGGCTGCCTCTTGAACATGAGCGGTGGCAGGGATACTCTGTGCTGCCCCAGTGCCCACTGTATGCCCAGCACTGGGCTAAGCCCTTTGTCCCATATCCCTCACTTATAGTCCTTTGTGATACACACTGAGTTTATCCACTAAGGCACAAAAGCATAGTGACTCCCTGGGACCATACCAAGGGTAAATGGGACAGGGAACTGAGCCAATTCCACCTGCTTAGAACCACAAAGAATGAAGAGAATGCTATCTTACTGGATACCTAGGGTATTGGGGCCTGGAAATTGTACCCTGGGTACCCTAGGGTTCTGAGCTGCTATCCCATATGTTCAAACCTGGCCTCTGCTGAGTCTAAAACCAGGCCAGCCACCTCGCCAAATGTTGCTTGTTGTACAAATGGTTGTAACCAGGGTAGGCGAGGTATAATCCCAGCATTCTGGGAGGCTGAGGCAGGAGGATCCCTTGAGCTCAGGAGTTTAAGACCAGCCTAAGCAAGAGAAAAACACCGTCTCTAATAAATAGAAAAAATAAGTCAAGCATTGTGGCTGGCGCTTGTAGTCCCAGCTACTTGGGAGGCTGAGGCAGGAAGATGGCTTGAACCCAGGAGTTTGAGGCGTCTATGAGCTCTAATGCCATGGCACTCTACCATGGGAAACAGAGTGAGATTATCTCAAAAAAAAAAAAAAAAAAAAAAGCTGGGTGTGGTGGCTCACACCTATAATCCTAGCACTCTGGGAGGCTGAGGTGGGAGGGTCTCTTGAGCTTAGTTCAAGACCAGCCTGAGCAAGAGTGAGGCCCCATCTCTACTAAAAACAGAAAAATTCGCTGGGCTTTGTGGTAAGTGCCTGAATTCCCAGCTACTTGGGAGGCTAAGGCAAAAGAATCGCTTGAGCCCAAGACTTTGAGGTTGCTATGAACTCTGATGCCACAGCACTCTACCCAGGGTTGACAGAGTGAGACTGTCTCAAAAAAAGAGAAAAAAGAAAGGTTATAGCCAAAGCTTGAACTATAGCCTACTTACAGAACATCTAGCTCAAAGGCCCCTTTCGTTGAGGAAAAGAACCAGGAGCACCACCCTAAATGAAGAGTGTGGACAATTAGAGTGCTATGGTTAGACCACTGGGGCAGCCATAGACAACCTGTGTGCCAGGCATGGGGGAAGGGGATTAAAGACCCAGACTCTGGCAATCCCTTTTCTAAAACCCTGGAACCTGGCCCAGCACAGTGGCTCACCTGTAATCCTAGCACTCTGGGAGGGAGATATGGGTGGATTGCTTAAGTTCAGGAGTTCAAGACCAGCCTGAGCCAAGAGTGAAAACCCATCTCTAAAAAATAGCCATGCATTGTGGTAGGCGCCCATAGTCCCAGCTACTCAGAAGGCTGAGGCAAGAGGATCACTTGATCCCAAGAGTTTGAGGTTGCTGTGATCTATGACACCATTGGCACTCTACCAAGAGCATCAAAGTGAGACTCTATCTCTAAATAAATAAACAAATAAACAAACAAAACCCCCCAAACCTGCAGGGAGACTAAGGCAGAGTCTACACACCTTGACTTCATCCCAGTGGTCTCTGTCCTCCCGTAGAACACGAGCTGTGTGGAGTGGGGTCTGTGGCACCACCATTGATTGCTAAAAAGAGCCCCAAGCCCATGGATTAAAATGTGGGGCATCTGTGTTAGCACTGGGCTGCCTCCTACTGTACCCCTTTCTACCAGTCTCAGATGGGGAAACTGAGGCTGAGAAGTGAAGGTGTCTGGCTGGAGTTATGACAAAGCCAGGTTGTAGGTGGGGCCCTACTACTCATCTGTGTGCACAGGTCCATCCCAATCCCATACTGGGGCCTCCAGAGCCACCACCCTCCTGCTCCAGCTCAACACACTGCCTGTTGTAGGACCAGGAGGTGCTCACGTTGATCCAAGGGTGGTTCATGAACTGTGTGATAGTCAGTCTCTCTGTGGGGTCTGTTTTCAGCAGGCGGCGGATCAGCTGCTTAGCTAGGGAACCCAGGGAAGAGAAAGAAGAGGTGAGGTTGCAGGGTTCCTCAGAGCCAGTCCCCTAACCTTTACCCACAGTCCACAAGCCCTGTCAGGGCAAGGGCAGCAGGTACTAAATTCCTAACCCATAGAAACAGTGACCTAATAACTTTCTTTTTCAAGTCACCAAGTATTCAGAATAATTTGTTAAGTAGCAATAGATAACTAATACAGGACGGATTGGTTTGTGGTCACCAGAGTAGAAAATATGAATGAGAAATAAGAATTAGAGAGAGTTTTTGGAGAGCAAGTTTTGAGGCCATTTGGCAGATGTAGAAACTGAGGCTCAAAAAGGTTAGGTGACTTGCCTGGAGTAACATAGTTTGGAAGTAGGGCAGCCAGAATTTGAATATAGGTTAATTTGACCTGTGTCTTCCAGATTTAAGGCTGCAGGTGCCAGGTGGGGCAGGCTGGGGCAGAGAGGTTCACTCACCATCTTCAGAGACCTCTGACCACTCAGGATTGGGGAAGCCATACTGGCCCAGGCGGATCCTCCTCTTCATCCCTGGAGAGATGGCCTGGCCCGTGTTGGAGTAGAAGGGTGGGAAGCCACACAGGCTGGAAGAGGGAGGAGGTCATTCAGCATGAAGTGAGGAGCAGTAGTAGAATAGACTTACTCTCTGCCCCAAGGCCCTGACTAGGGAGATAGGTAGGCATACTATGGCAATAGTATCAGCCCTCCAGATTTCTAGGCACATCACAGGAATGCCATCAGAGCTCTTGGTATGGAGACACCCTCAGGCAACCTGAAGGAGCAATGTCTCATGACCAGAAGGGAAGGGCAACCTGCATGAGTGACACATGCAAACCCCTTTCCAAGGATGTAGGTGGAAGTGGTACTGAGGGTACTTAATGCGAATTAGGGGAAAAGATGAAGGAAGAGGGTAGGAATGGTACTCACAGGATGTACATTATGACGCCCAGGGACCACAAGTCACATGACTTGTCATACTTCTCTGGACCCAGGACCTCAGGAGCTGCCAGGGCAGAGAGCACGGGAGGGCTCTTAGCCCCAAGGGTCTTGGAACCCAGCCAGGAGTCAAGCGTGGTGGCTCACATCTGTAATCCTAGCACTTTGAGAAACTGAAGCAGGTGATTTCTTGAACTTAGGAGTTTAAGACCAGACTGAGCAAGAGGGAGAACTCAGCTCTACTAAAAATAGAAAAACTGGCTCGGCACCTGTGGCTCAAGTGGCTAAGGCACCAGCCACATACACCCAAGGTGGCAGGTTTGAATCCAGCCCGGGCCCACCAAACAACAATGATAGCTGCAACCAAAAAATAGCCGGGCGTTGTGGTGGGCGCCTGTGGTCCCAGCTACTTGGGAGGTGGAGGCAGGAGACTTGCTTGAGCCCAGGAGTTGGAGGTTGTTGTGAGCTGTGATGCCATGGCACTCTACCCAGGGGGACAGCTTGAGGCTCTGTCTCAAAAACAAAATAAAATAAAAATAGAAAAACCAGCCAGGTGTTAAGGTGGGTGCCTGTAGTCCCAGCTACTGGGGAGGCTGAGACAAAAGGATCACTTAAGTCCAGGAGTTTGAGGTTGCTGTGAGCTATGTCACCATAGCACTCTACCCAGGGTGAGACTCTACCTCAAAAAAAAAAAAAAAAAAAAGAAGAAAGAAAGAAAGAAACCAGCCAGGAGCCTAAAGCCTGGGTAAGGTAGGAAGTGGGTGCCCAGGCTGGGAGGTGAAACAGCAGACTGGTGTCTAGCACCTCCTGGGAAGGCAGCATGTGTGTGAAAGTGAGGGAAGAGAAACATCTCCCAGAAAAAATAATTTTCAGACAGCCCCCTGAGCCCCTCTGCCAGTCTCAACCTTAGTGAGGGAAGAGAAGGGAAGAGGGCCAGTCAGGCTTAATGGGGCCCTGCCACAATTGAAGGGCCTCAGCCTACTAGCTGTCCTGTGTCCCTTGCCTCCCTGAATGCACAGCCTAGGTCACAACCAATTTGGAGCCAGGGAAGGGCTCTGCATTCCACTGTCAGCTTGGCTACCAGCCCATGGGGCCTTGGGCTTCCCATCTGTGAACTGAGATGGGTAGACCAGATAAATTTTTAAGTTAAACTACCACAAAATATATCCTGGTAAATGAGGTGACATTTTACCTATCTCAAGGGGTACCCCACCTTTGCAGCAACCCTCCCAGAAGACCTCCCCTAAGAGAGAAGAGCACTCTGCCATTGCCCCACTCTTAGGTTAGAGGAACTGTTGACAAGGGGCCTTTCCAGATTTGGGGGAGGTTTTCTCACAGAGGAGCAGGTAACTTTTCCAGGAAGCACAAGCATATATATACTTCTAGGCCCTATACATGGTCTGGTTGGCCTAACCAACCTTTGCCCACAAAGCAGGTAGCTGGAACCCTGTATCCCTCTAATATAGGAAGAAAGCCCTGCCCACTTTCTGAATATGAATCCCAGAAAGAGAAAAACAACCGTGGCTGGGCTCTGTCCTGAGCTGATGGCAGCCTTTTATCACATATATATTTAGAGCTGCTGTGATGTCATTCAGCTCACAGGCCACAGCCAGAATTTTCCTGGATCTATTTTCAAAAGCAGAAGCTGAAATTTAGGAGAATATTTTTGCAGCCTCCGGCCCTCCCCCACATCCCCCGCCTCCATGCAGACAGAGGAGGCGCACCCTCCTCCCTCTTCCTGGGTGTTAACCCCTTGGTTTCTGCAACCCACTGGCTGTCCCATAACACAGCAGTGTATAGTTGGGGTGGGGAAGTACAAACCCTATCCCAAAAGGACTCACCCACATAATAGGGAGTGTAGCAGGGTGTCTGCAGGGCATTTTGGGTAGTCTCCTTGGCAAAGCCAAAGTCAGTGAGCTTAAGTACCGCATCTTTCTCCTTGGATGTGTAGAGCAGATTTTCAGGCTGGGCCAGGAAGAGAATACATTGGTTTGGAGTTAGGTACCAGTCGGGAGCAGAGTCCCAAGATGATCTTCAGCCAGACTCCCCGACTCCATGGCCATCAACAGCATGGGTCAAATGTAGAGAAGTGTAGGGGGAGTCCTGGCCATCAACATGGGTCAAATGTAGAGAAGACCAAGGTGATGCCTTCATTCACAGAGGAAAACATGAGGAAGTTCTTCAGCCAAGATCATTAATGACCAAGTGCCATCAAGAGCCTAGGGGCAGGAACTCTGATTCGGAGTTGGTGACACTGCCATGAAATGCCAGAATGAGAACACTGGGGGAAGGCAGAATGCTCCTAAGCCATTGTTGCCCAGCACATGTCCCACACCCAGCCCAGAATAAAGCCTATTAGGGCCAACAGGACTATAGCCCCAACTGAAGTTGCTCAGGAGAGAAGGCCCTGACTGCGCAGACCCTAGGAGCTATACAGAGGCAATTCTTCCTGGTTGTAAGCACAGGGAAACCTGGCAGATGAGGACAGTAGGGAAATCTACATGGAGGAGGCAGCCCAGGAACTGGCTTTCAACGTATGGGTAGGATCTAGATCCTCAAGCAGAGCTGAGGTAAGACAGGGTGTTAGATGAAGCTCTGGTTTGGAGCCAGTGGAAGCGATTTCTCAGGTTCTGTTTGTAATGATCTGACCTTGTACTGGGATAAAAACTGAGAAGCCTCAGTTTTTATGTAGTGTAGGTTTAGCCTACACAAAAGAGTCTCCTTTGCAGAATGCTTTTCTCCCTTGGGAAAAAAAGAAGCTAGGGCCAAAGTAAAGTAACAATTCAGAAAGTATGTTTGTTGTGGCTCCGTATATATCCAAAATCAAAGGATATGGGTTGAGAATATTCAGCCAGATGGACCTGATGCAGTAGCTGGAGCCTCAGTTCTCCTCTGCCCAGTATTAGGAGGAAATAGGGCAAGGGGACTAATGCTCCAGGCCTGGGGTAGAGGGTCCAGAAGGAGCAGATTCATGCTTATCTGTGCTTATGTGTGTGTATATGCAGCGCTGCCTCAGTTTGCATTTCATCCATCTGATCCCAATGACCTCTAATATCCAGTCCTCCCAGGATAGGAAATATGGAGAGCTGAGCTTCTAGCCTCAAGACCATCCTGGAAGGGCTAGCAAGCCCAGTAACTGGAACTATCTCTATTCCTTCTTCCAGTGCCCAGCAAATAGCTTTTTTCCCTTAAAATGCTGGTGTTAGAATACCTAATCTGTCAGGACTATGGCTATGACTTCACAGAAGCCCCAACAGTATCAGGCAACCCCTGTCTGAAGCCTGGCCCATTGCATATACACAAATTTCCTGCTGAACGAGTGAACAAATGAATGAATGAATCCCAGTGAAGCAATTTCTAGCCTTGGGAAAGCCAGTTAATCTCTCTGAACCTCATTGTCCTCATCTGTAAAACGGGTAATGGCACCTACATTACAGGGCTGGGGGAGGATTACATAACATGTGCATCTGGGCTCACTGGCTGGAGACAGGCAGTCAGTTATTCTTCTTTTTTTTTTTTTTTTTTTTGAGACAGAGTCTCACTATGTCACCCTTAGTAGAGTACAGTGGCTGCAATTGACGGCAACCTCAAACTCTTGGGCTTAAGCGATTCTCTTGTCTCAGCCTCCCAAGTAGCTAGGACTACAGGTGCCCACCACAATGCCTGGCTATTTGTTTTTGTTGTAGTTGTCATTGTTGTTTAGCAGGCCCAGGCAGGGTGCGAACCCGCCAACCCCAGTGTATGTGGCTGGCACCCTAGCTACTGAGTTACAGACATCGAGCCTAGTTATTCTTTTTTTTTTTTTTTATTAAATCATAGTTGTGTACATTGATACTTTCATGGAGTACAGTGTGTTGTTTCCATATACAATTTGAAATACTTTCATCCAATTGGCCAACATAGCATTCATGTCATTCTCATAGTTGTTGTGTTAAGACATTTATATTCCACATTTAGAAAGATTCACATGTACCCTTATGGGATAAATCATAGGTGTGATCCCAGCAATTACCCTCCCTCCACCCATCTTCCCCTCTCCCCTCCCCTCCCTCTCCCCTTTCCCTGTATTCTTAGGCTAAAATTGGGTTATAGCTTTCCTATGATAGCTAAAAATTAGTTTCATAATAGGGTTAAGCCCATATCACAGATGCTGGTGTAGTTGTGGAGATAAGGGAACACTTCTACACTGCAGGTGGGATTGCAAACTAATACGTCCCTTTTGGAAAGTCATCTGGAAAACACTGAGAAAACTAAAAATAGATCTGCCATTTGATCCCATAATTCCTCTGCTAGGTATATATTGAGATGACCAAAAATCACACTACAATACAGATATTTGTACCAGAATATTCATTGCAGCCCAATTCATAATTGCTAGGTCATGGAAGAAGCCCAAGTGCCCAATGACCCATGAATGGATCAATAAATAGTGGTATATGTACATCATGGAATACCATGCAGCCATAAAGAAAGATGGAGACTTTACCTCCTTCATGTTTACTTGGATGGAGCTGGAAAATATTCTTCTTAGTAAAGTATCTCAAGAATGGAGCCTAGTTATTCTTATTATTCTGAGGATTACACAGTGTTTGAAAGAAATGAGGAGACTCATCTGAGAAGAACAGAATGAATATGCTGAAACCAGGAGAAAATAAGCTGAGAGCAATCTGGGCCAGGATGCAGAGGCTTTGAATGCCGACCAAGAAACTTGGCCTCCATCCAGCAGGTGCTGGGAGCCATTAGGGCTAGTGGAGTGGGACAGTACCCTCTTCCCTGGTACCCCAATCTGGAGTACCCCAATCCTAGAGCTTCACCTTGACATCTCGGTGGGCAATATTCTGGCTATGCAGGAACTGGATGGCAGTACCGATATCCCGCATGATCTCTGCAGCCTCTGCAGACACAAAGGAGAGCAGTCAGTGATACCAGTCAAAGGTCAGGCAACCTGGGAGCATGCACCCTATAATCCCTCCTAGGTACAGTCGTGGGCCAGCATTCCTGTTACCCAGGACCTCCATCCTGGACCCCTGTCTCAGACACTCTGGTCTCCTCCAGTGATGTCTCCGGTCCACTTAAACTTCTTTCCTCAGCCCTAGACTACTTTTCCCCACCTTAACTGCTGGTCAGCACCAAGAGGATTTGAGGCCTCCATCCCAAAGCCATAGAGAGTCTATCTCCCACAAGGTGTCACAGACTTAACAGAACCCCTCAGGGAGATGGACACTAGGTCCCACTCTCTCTTGGTAAAATGGAAAGACTGAGGCACAGAGAGGAGCAGGGCCTTGCCCAGCATCACACTGCAACTCTAGTCCGTCCCTCTTACCCTGAATCTCACCACTGGTCAGCTGCATTCATGTACCTCTCTCAGTGAAAGCCTGGTCGCCACGCTCCTGAATCCTGCTGAACAACTCACCACCTTCCATGCTATAAGAGAAGGTGACTGTAAGCAGGGTGGGGGGTGGGGTGAATCAAGTATCACCCTGTCCCTGATCCAAATCATAGGCACGAGCTTCAGGTCCTACTACTCCCTCCCTCCCTAGTGAATAGCCACTATTAGAGCCTCCCTGTGCTTTGTAGAACTTGGTGAATGGTGGGCTGTCAGCTTGGGTGAACTGAACTGACCTCTTAAGATTCTTGTTGGGATTTGACCCCTGCCAGGAAGCCCCTGTGTTTCCCTATAGCACTGGCCCCACCTGGTTGTGAGGCCTTGGGTAGCCCAACTTCATCCAAATCTCATTTCCCCCAAATGTGGAATGAGAGGTCAATCAGCATCCTATGACTTCTGAGCACCTATTGTGTGCTATGCCCTGGGCTTCACCCTTCATGAGCATGGCTTGGTCCTGGGCTGGTTCCTCCACCTCTCTGTGCCTCAGGTGTGTCTTTTACAAAATGGGGATAATAACAACCTCATGGTCATGAAAACTGAATATGCTATACATATTTAGGGCACTTAAAATGGTGTCAAGCACAGGATAAATACTACATTTAAGATCTTCCTCCACATTTTATTAATACATGTGAATTACAGACATTCAGAGAGACTAGGAATGGCCCATGGTCTCAAAGTTAGTGGGTAGCAAAGCCAGGATCTAAACTGCAGATCTGAAGATCTGGCTAACCTGTGGAATGAGGGGGAAACTTAAAAAGGCAGACAGAGAGGAACTTGCCTAGACAGTGAGTCTATTCAAGGCTAGGGCTGAGCCAAAGTGCCAGTGGGAGAAGCCCAGGGTAGAAAAGGCCACTCACTGGCTCTGAGTTTTAGGAACTAATCACTCAGCTTCTAGTGAGACTATGGAAGCGCAAACCTGGGTAGGAAGGTGAAAGCTGAGGGGACTATTCTTCCCCAAATCTCCCCCCCCCCCCGCATTCATCCACATTCAGGGTTTAGAAGCCTTCTCTGACAGCTCTACGAGCCCCTTCTCAGAGAATGGAAATCACTCCCAGGGAGGCCATATTAGAGCCCTGTAGCTTCTCCCCTGCCCTTAAAGAAATGCCCTCATTTCTTCTTGGCCAGGTAGCTCCATAGCTCCATGGGCAGGGCCTGCATCTGCCCACTCCACTGTCCCTCAGAGGCCATGGTGGTACCCAGAGCTGCTATCTGAAAAATAGAGAAAGCCCCTAGAAGAATGTCTGGGACCCTAGAGGAAAGCCAATGCAGCCAACATACCATTCCATGACGATGAGGAGACAGCGCCTGCCATGATGCATGTTCTCATACACGTCCAGGATTCGTACAATGTGGGGACCGCCAGAGGCCTGCCAGTGGTGGTCCACCTCCTGCCGAGCCTTGGGGCTGTCATACAGGATCTGTGGGTGGGTAGGTCCAGAAAGTGTCAGGCTCAAAGCCCGCTGCCCTCACTTTGCAAACCAGAATGTATAAACTCAGAGAAGCTTGTGATCTGCCAAAGGTCACACAGCTTATAAGGGGAAGAATGAGAATTTGACTCCAAGTTTCCCTGACTAGTAGTCCAATGAACCTCTGGACTTTAGGGTCAGCCCTGTGCTCAAGCAGCTTGGCCAATAGCTTAGGGAGTCCCTGGGAGGTAGCTGACAACCTGGAGGGGCTCAAAGGTGAGAGGTGCTCCTGCCTCCTTTCTCATGGGGAGCAAATAAAGTAGAAAACTGAGTGAATTTTATAGCCAAATCACACATCAGAGGTATGACCCCCAGCCAGGGGCCACACATCTCTCAAACTTCATTTTTACAATGAGGATGATATGGTTGTTTCATTTCCCAGGCTGGGATTGGGAACTGTACAGGATGGCATGTGGTACACAGTAGGCCCTTGGTGTCTCCCCTATGAAACAAGTGAAGGGTACTGGAGAAAGGCTAAAGAGGAGAGAGGATACACTAACATGCAGATCTGCCCTACAGGCTTCAGTATGACCAGGAGAATGCTGAAACATGAGAGGAGGCTTCCTGCAGGAGGGGTGAAGCCTGTGTCCATCAGTCCATTTGTCACCAGGAAACCCAGCCCAGAGTGGAGGGAGGCAAGACCTCACTTCTACATAAATAAAGGAAATTAAGATTTCAAATTCTCCAGGAGTGGGCAGAATAAAACTGTTACTACCAGAAAAAGTGCTTCCAAAATGAGTTGCTTGGTCATGACCACCCAGTCACTTCCCAGCTTCTAAGGTAACTTAGGTAATTTTGTAGCCTCCCTTGAAGCTGCTGTGCAGGACCAGGGCCACAATGCCATCCCACTACTAAAGAGATGGGATCACCTTAGGGTGACCTGGCTGCCCATCCTCCACCTTCATCCCATGCTTAGAGACCACAGGTGAGGACCCAGAGGTACATACTGGGGCTAGGGAGCACCCTAGTTGAGGGAGATGACAGCTAGATGGAGTAAAATGTAGGTTTGGGATTGAACTCCTCCAATGACTTGGTGTGACCTTAGGCAAACATTCACAGCTCCAAGCTGTAGCCCACAGCTCCATAAAATGAAGTAATAATGGAGTCATCAGCTTGGCACCCACAGCATAGCAGTAAGGGCACCAGCCACATACATCTGGGTTTGAACCTGACCCAGGACAGCTAAACAACAATAGCAACTGCATCAAAAAAATAGTCAGGAGTTGTAGTGGGCACCTGTAGTCCCAGCTACTTGGGAGGCTCAGGCAAGAGAATCACTTATGAGTTTGAGGTTGTTGTGAGCTGTGACACCACAGTACTCTACCAAGGGTGACATAGTGGGACTCTGTCTCAAAAAAAAATTTTAAAATGGAGTCACCCTCACAGGGTGCATCATAGCAAGGCAGTTTTAGGTGGGCAGGTGTCAGCATCTTTGCTCAGGTTAACTCAGCCCTGGGCCGTAGCTGTCAACCACAGAAATGAGATCCAGAATGGGGGAAGCAGGGATAAGCCATTCCCCAAACAGGTTACTCACTCAAGGCCCAGTCAGTGTGTTCGCTGAGGAAGGCTAATGCTCAAGGCCAGAGCTCAGATCACCCCTGCCCTGTTCAGTACCATCAGGACCCTTGGACCACCCACCACAGGATGGAGAGAGTCAGGCCACTTTACACAAGACACCGGGGGCTGGGGGCAGGCTCTGAGACCAAGCTCTCCAGATAAAGGCAAACTGGGCCATGACAGTGTCTCAGGGAGGGGACAGGAAAGCAACAGTTTCTTGAATCTGCTGTTCCTTGGCTGGTCAGTTCTCCCTTTCTAGAGCTGTTCCCCTCAACCCCACCCTAGAATACAGGCAGTGCAGGAAGTTCAGAGAGCCAGGGGCTGAATAAACCCCTCTACCAGCTCTGGGGTCCTGGGCAACTGCAACAAAAAAGACCATGCTGGGAATGTGCAGGCAGCTGTCAGCAGATGGGAGCTGCCACCACTTGGAAGCCATGGATCCACTGCTCGTGATACCCTTGCCTCCTGGAACTCAGTCACACCCACTCACCACACTGGCCTGCCTCCACTGTGTCTTCAGGCAACTCCAGCTAGGGGGCATCCTAGTCCTACTGCCTTCCCGTGCCCTTTCCTCCTTTGCTTCCTAGCCTCCCCCTACAGGTCTCCTAGCCTCTGTCCCCCACCCATACCTTGTGGCATCTCATTCCAAATTCTAGGCTTGCAGCTGCAATGCTTTTAGTGGGGTCCTCGGCTCTATCTCTCCTCTTCTGACTCTTCTCCACCTGAGGCCATAGACTGCTTCCCCACACCCTCCAAATAAATGCCACTTCCTCTCTGGGCATCCAGGGCTTGCCTTTCTTTCTCACCTCATCTCCTACTACCTCTAGCCCCAAAACATTTTCTGTTCTAGTCAAACGATACACATGCTGCTCCCAAACAGGCCTTATTCCTTCAAGTCTCTGTGTCTACACCTGTGCTAGCCCCTGCCATGCATGTTCTTGTCCCATCTCCCTCTCCATTGAGTCAACTCTCTCTGAGGAAGCTTTTGGGCTCAATTCAGATGTCTCTGCCTTTGCAAAGTCTTCCTTGCACCTCTCCCCATGTTTTTGCCTCTGTTCCTCCCACCAGGCTGGGGGTAGCTTGGGGACAGAGGCAAGTCAGGTTGACCTGGGGGTGCCTGGCTGAGGCCTAGCAGGAAACACTGGACTCATGAGCAAACAAAAGATGGAAAGATGGACTTGGGGCTAGAGGGAGATAGGAGGTGTGAGAAGGAGAGGAAGGAGGCATATGGCCTAGGAGGGGCCAGAGAGCCTCACAGCCTGGGACTGCACCCTGTGCCTTTTTGAGGTAGAACACCAGGTGGAGCTGCTTTGTGGTGGAGATTCTTGAGGCTTCCTGCCCCACTCAGCCCATATTTAGGAACTCATTTCTCACAGATAAAAATAGTCCCTCTTAAGTGCCAAAGCCCTGAGAATAGGCACATGGAATGCCCCCACTGGTCTGTCTGCAGGGCAGATCACAGGGACCAGACCCTGGACCTGGGCCCAGTCTGCCATGAAATCCCCTGGGCTATCACTCCTATCCCTTAAGCTGATCCTGAACATAGCCCCAATTACCCAGAGTCTCAGCTTTCCCATCTTTCTTCCCCATAACCAGAGCCTTCACCTCCATGACTCCTCTAAATGTCACCTCTTCTTAGTAGCACTCCCTGACCACCCTTTATTCTCTCTTCATTCTTTCTTGATCTTTCCTTATTGAGGTACAGTTTCACACAGTAAAAGGCACAGATCTCAAGGGTGCAATTCAGTGAGTTTTGACAACTACACACATCCTTGGGACTCACACCCCTATCAGACGGAAAGCATTCCCAGCAACCCAGAAAAGTCCCACATCATCACCCCTTTTACTTTTACCTTCCGTGCAGCACTTGCTCACAACCTGCATGTAGCTTGTTCCTCTGATAACTCTTCAAACAAACATGTATACACAGATGTCTCACTGCCAATGTGCTGGCTCTGTTTGGAGCACTTTGTAAGTATTAGGAAGAAAGGACTTCATTTATCACCATTTTCTAAATGAGAAATTAAGGTATAGAGAGGGGAAGTAACTGGTCCCAGACAGCACAGCTGTTCTCCCAGCCAGGCAGCCACCATGCTGCATTCCTCATCAGACTGTGGGCCCAGGGGGCAGGGCCAATCAGCCTGATCACCTCTGGGTCCCAGTACTGGGGCACAGGGCCTGGCACAGAACACTGGCTCAGATAATATCTGTACTTGTAGATTTATTGAACAAATCTATCAAGTGGAGATGAAGGGGAAAAACCCTTACAACCCATAATGAGGACAAGATTAAATTGAGGAGGCCCCTGGGAGGCTCAACAAATGGGAGACATAACAATCTGGCCAAACTTGCTCCCACTGCCCAAGAGTAGCCTGTATCTCACCTACCCTCTCTGCTGAACCTGATTTTAACTCCTCTTCCAAGGAGCCCATCATGACTGCTCCAGTCCATGAAGCATTGCTACAAGTTGGCCTCATTCACAGAAATACATGATTCCACATTATCCTGCATAATAGTGCCCCCAAGCAAGAACTCCATCTTCCCAGGCATGGGAATAAGCACAGGGCCAGAACATAGGAGATTCAGGTTCTATCCCTATTCTGAATATACTGTAGGCCACTCCCTTTTCCTTTTGGGCTTCTATTTCCCCAGTGTTATCTGCAAGGCTTGGGCTATACGGGGTGAGGAGAGAAGGTGGAGTAACAAGGAGGACCTCCGGACAAAGGCTCCTTTCTAAGTAGTTACTCCCACATCACTGCCTCCATGGAGCAGTCCCTGGGTCTCCATGGATGCCACATCCAGATACCTGAGCCCCCTAGGGGTTACCTGGAGTGGGCAGTAGTGTATTGGCCCCCTGTCACAGGTGGGAGGACAAGAAGATGGGAGGGGACTTCTGACAACACAACAGACCTTCCTCTTGCCTCACTCCTGTCCTATCTATGCTCTCAGTGGGTCCTTAAGAGATGAAGAGTCTATGATGGCACTTGGGTAGCTCCAGCTAGCGCCTGACAAAGGCACAGACACACACAGACACAGATGCACAACACTCACCCATGAGGTAGAAGCCTGGCTTTCTCCTAAGGAGAGGGACTCTTGCTTTATCTGAGCTGAAGCTCAACCACTACTGCATCTGAGATGACATTTCCTTAAACAAATGATACTACTCTGGCCTCAGGCTTTGATGTAATAGTTTCTACCTCTCCCTTCTCCCCTCACTCTCCTTTGCCAAATTCTCTCACTAGCTCCCAGAGCTAGTAGCTAGAAGGCCAAGACCCCTACTGATCTCCCTGACCTCCCCATCTAATGAGTCCCAGCAAAAGTTGAGAGCAAAATGGCCCATGCCCCACACAGGTACTTGCCCATGTTCCTCTAGCCCCACCAGGTGGAATGGGGGG